TGTTGTTGGTTTTTTCTTCGCAAAATTCCTGAGGCCGATTTGCTGTCTTTATTACTTTTTTTCCACCGAAATCCCCGTCGCCAATTGTTGCTGTTTTTTTTTGGGTCCAAACATTTCTCATCTTTTAACTCTTTTGGCTTTTCAACTTCTTTTGTCAAGATAATAACAGCCTTATTCTTGATACCACCTAGGACTGCGCGTGACCTCATTGACACACCCGTGCTTTTGACTTTTTGGATAATCCTTAACACCAACGGCAGCCTTTTCATTAGCGAAGACCCCAAAACGACTGCGAGGCAACACTATAGGGATTTTCAAAGCTCAGCTGACCGATCAAAAGGCGTACCACATTTGTAGGCTTCACTGATAATTGGGCTGTGCTGACGCTCTTCCACTGGTTCAGTGAAAGCTGACGTTGGATTCACTGTAGCAAAACAACTTCACAGAACGAGACTTAAACATTCGGAAGAATTTGTGGATCCTTCATCCTCCTCAGTGAATGTGAGTCTAAACACTCATACTGGCAGACTTAAAAACGCTATCCGTTTATTTGAGACTGTTTACTTTCAACTGCATTCAACTGATGTTGTCAAACTTGTCTTACGACGTAGTATCCACGGTTTTGCACGTCGCTTTTCTTTATGACAACCCCTCGAAACTATATACTAAAAACATTTCAAAGTACTTCATTAGCATATGAGACGCTCTCGAATTACAGTAACGTTTCAAGTGCATCCAAACGACTAATGAAGGCAAGACGTCATATACGTTTTTGTTTTGTCTCGCTCCTAGCGTCCCACAGTTATATGTGTGCATCCTCGGTATCTTTTTGGAATATTATAGTGTCAAAAAGAAAATAAATTGCTTTTATTCTATATTTTTAAATATGCGTCCGTCATTTCGCGATAAAACATCATGAAAAACCTTTTTTTTGAAAATTTTACACTACTGCATGGTATATACACATATGTATACCGGATTACTTTTTACGTAGTGCTTCGTTATGCAAGTACGACTGCATTTTGGAATGCACTGGGATGAATGGAAGAGATGGAAAATTCACGAAGGATACAATGAATTGCAATTTCCATTGTGTAACGTTTTACAGTGTAGTGACTCACATTTATCACGAGAACACGACTGGTTTAATAGAAACAATTATTATTATAATCAACTGTACCAGTGTTTGTTTTAACGTGCTTTTGTTTGACTGTGCTAATGACAGCTATTTTTTGCTTCCATTCTTATACTTACACTTTGATTGTAACTTCGCGCGAATTCGGTTACGTTCTGTAACCAAGCTTGTATCCTGGCACGATCTCGGTATCCTTTCGATGCCACGAGATCGCCAGCAAATAAATATCTCGACTTGGTCCATTAATTGCCTTCTGGTATTTGGCTTCTCGGAGATTTTATGGGTTTCTTTGGTTACGTCCAACCTTCGCCTTCTGATTTATCTGGCACGTGTTTCTTGGTAGCGGTGTTCATAGTTAACCTCAACTCGACGCCACGCTACAATTGGTGACCCGTATTTTGGAACACGCCTCAACTTCTGGTCAAATCTTCCAAAGAAGCCAATTCGGTGAGTCTATGATTTATCTATCCACGTCTGTCGTATATTTTCATATTTTTTAATATATAATATACTCGACATGACGGATAACGATAAGAATAGTATTAATATAATAGACTCACATGTATGTGTACCGAATCCTTGTTACTTTTTATTCGCGTGACGATGAATTCCACGCTTTATTCGAGAAATTTTCCCCTATTAACTATTCTCCTCGCTGACCCGGCTGCTTGGTACGGAATGCATACGCATAAGCATTAACGTCTACCACCCAGCACCAAATGGTTAAGTAGAACGGTTTCACTGCCAACTTAAAAGTGCTCTACGAGCACACGAAAACGGCAACTGGCACGAAACCTTACCGCTCGTTCTTTTAGGGATCCGAACGAGCTTGAAGGCAGATATACAATGTTCCGCCGCTGAACTGGTATACGGCACGACATTGCGTCTGCCCGGAGAATTCTTCACACCACGGAGCAGACCTAATTTCGGTAAATCAGACTACGTCCATCGACTGTCTGCATTTATGCGAACGCTGTCTCCGGTGTCAACTCGAATACAACATCGACAGGTCGCTCTCCCTCGAGAGTTATCTACCTGTTCACATGTTTTCATACGAGTAGATTCGGTACGCAAACCTTTGCAACAACCTTACGAAGGCCCTTTTCACGTGATCGCTCGTCACGAAAAGACCTTCAAGGTTGATCGACATGGCCGCGTCGAGATCGTCAGCATTGATCGTCTCAAACCAGCACACGTCGATGACAGTGCCCTATCTGATAACCTGAGATTCAATGCTAGACCTATCAAACCTAGCGGGATCCTCAAATCTTCTTCAGGTCCCACGCTAGATACATCTGAGACCTCATTCTCACGTCCCGGTCAACAGCACGCGTCATCTGCACCGTCTACGGACGAGACGACAGTCTCACGTCCAGATCAGCAGACCACGCCACCCTTGACTTCGGATGAGATTGCAGGCTCACGAGATACGAACGAGACTACCGTCTCACGTTCCGGTCGCCGAGTACGGTTGCCCGTACGCTTCCGCGACTAGCCGCACAGTTAACAACCGATACGGTGTAGGATTATTCCTATGCTACACGCATGCTACACTCTTCTCTTTTTTGCTTTTCTCTTTGTTTCCTGAGCCCACGCCTTCGACCATCTCCGTTTGGTTCCGTCGACTTCAGTCAACTTTGGCGAAAGCTGGCCTGATCACTAATGCTCTTGTCAACGCACTCAGTCGATATATTGGTTTCGAATGCTTGGCATACGCTTGGTCTCGAACTTGGTCGTTACGGTCGCTTCTGGTCTTTTGGCTCAACGTGGTTTCGTCCTACGTCTGCAGCGTTTCTGGTCCGGACCCCTACGAACGCCCTCTTCAGATTCTGGATACAAACCACTCTGGTGTAGCATGCCAACTCAAGCAATAAATACAACACATCGCTCCTGGTACCGTTCTCCGAAAACGACCTTCGTTGGCAACTCGACGATCAACGATCGCTTTCCTGTTCGCCAATTCTTCCGTCCTACAATCGCTCGTCAGCCGATCAGTCCCACGATTTAAACCGCTATTTATCGAAAGTGTAAACCCTTTCTAGCGGGGGGCTCCTGTAGTGACTCACATTTATCACGAGAACACGACTGGTTTAATAAAAACAATTATTATTATAATCAACTGTACCAGTGTTTGTTTTAACGTGATCACTTTGAACTATAATCTTTTGAACTCAGTTGTTCTAGATCCGGTAAGATCAGCCCTAAACATAGTCAATATGAAGATTAGCTGATTCCTGATGTCTGTTGAACTCGGCACACTATTATCCACAACTAATTAATTACGGTTAAAGTCAACTCAATTCCACGGGTGTTCAAATTGAAATGCATTATGCACCATACACACAATTCAGTGTAGTTAAAGCATTTCAACGCCGTGGTTTTTACAACAATTTATTTTTACACAGCTCGAGCGAATCTAAGTATACTTAGATTACTAAACTATAACGTTTGATGTAAACTGAACGTTCCCTTAGACTGATGCCATACCAACACTGCACAAACTGCCTGAATATTATTTCAGCAATTTGACGCATACAAAACTTTCCTGGGAAAAGTGAGCTCATGCAATTTCTTAAACAGTACATTTATTAGTCAATCGCAAAAATAACTAAGTGCCACATAACTCAGGCTGATCTGACGACATCGTAGTACACCAAATAATGACTACTAACTAGGCTAATGGAAAATACTGACGACATTGAGGAGCTAAAATAAACATAACCAAAGATTACTTACTTACTCTTGTTATCCATCGTGAGGGGGCATAAATTTCACACCAAAGTTCTGTATTCTCAAATTATTTTAACTTGCTATTCATATCTGCTTCCAATTCCCGACGCAGTGTGCTCCATGTTATCTCTATTTTTGTTTCCCTTCGGGATTCCAGGCTGGTTTTCCACCTGTGTATGTTGAGGCCTACTGATACAGAGGCTTCTACCACACTGGTTGTTTGGACCTGCTTTTGTTGTTCGTGTATGAAATATAAAAGATAATTCACCTATGAAGTTCAAATCTTCTAACTGATTCCGACATGTCCATTGTATTCCGTGCTTCCTGTCAGATGTCGAGGTCCTCACAATTCAGTCAGCCAAAAGAAGAAAGAGGAAGGGTGATAGCAGGCAGCCTTGTCTGACTCTGGTCTTTACTTCAAGTGCATTTGTTTGCTGCCTTCCATGCACGACAATGGAGATGTGGCATCCCTCAACTAGAAGCATAAGATGGTCCCAAATTTGGGGCTTTGAAATTAATTGCAGAAATAGTGTGCTAATTTATGTCGAAAACAAAGATACTCTTCAGTGCATTATCAACTTACATCACTTTTAACTGTGCGAGAACAAAAAGACTTACAATTAACATTAAGTTATAACTCAAAGACAACTTCACATTGAAATGCAACAAACGCCAAAGGTTTTCAAGCGTTATGGTTACTTCGTCGAGCACTTGAATGTTATGGCGAGATGTTTCGGATTATATATCCTATCCATTTAAGACAAAACCTGATTCACTGAGCGAGCAGCTGTTCCATATACTAATAATGATTATGACACACGAGTGTATACCGTTTGGTAATAAAGTTGGTGATGGTTCCTTTTAAACTCCTTTACAAATAGTTAAAAAGCCCAAAACTCTTTTAGCTACTCTCGTGTACCCCAATGAAAAATTAAACATCGCCTAAGGACCGATCTTAACTCCAAAATATTTATCCTCTCACGTTTCCAGGTAAAACATTTTCCTACCAAGAGGTATTGGTGATCCACCACTACTAGACACCAAAGCCCATTAAGCGAAAGCTTCTTCTATTCCGTCCACAACCATTTGAATCGTAGAACGCAAAATGGGTTTATATTGGCATTGCATATCCTTGCTAAAACTGAACGTAAGTCGTTCCTTGTTGATACTTTGCACGACAATAAATGCCATCATTGTCCTCAACAGATTTTTTCTGCCATTTTGATGAAAGTTCAGCCAACAGGTTTGTAACGTTAGAAATGGGTCCATGAAGATTACAAGAAGGTAAACTACAACAGTTGAAAGGCAGAGTATCGAATACATCCTCTCAATTTCGTAAACAACACCCCCGCCACGAGAAGGTAGTGAGTAGGACTTTCCTGACAGTGGCTGTACACGCGTGGCCATGTGGGAGCATTTTGAGAGGGAGAGCTGACTATTCTCACCCTCGGCCGTACCACAGCATTTGGGGACAGAGGTGCTGATAGCATTAGCAAATTTAACTGGATGGCCATTTCATTTGTTCAAGGCTAAGCTCATAATCTGGACCTCTATCGACTCGATCCAGTTAATAATAAGTGATAATTGAAATGGATAGTTTCTAGTTAACTTAAAGGGCAGCTATCTCAGAAATAAATCATTCAGAGTTAAACCAATAATACTTTCGAACATAGGACAGAAAAAATGATTTTACAATTAAGATCTTTTATATACGATAGATAGAATGTTATTAATTCAAGAGTGATTTACTTATTTATGTTTCTAAAAAGTAGGCTGTCGAAAAATAGTCGCACAAATGATACGAGACAGAACAATTTATAATAATTACCAATTCTCACAAACACACCTTATTCCGTCTATAGTTAGAGCGGTTTCAGTGATATTTGTTGATAAAATACATTTACGTACACAGTTTGAAGCAACATGAAAAACTTTCTCTTGATGTGATGCAGATAATGCACCGTGCAATGGTAAAATAATCCATCGTTTTGTTTCTTCAGCATATGCTTTAACTGGTTCCATTATTGCCTTTTACAACAAAAAAGAAACAGAATTAAGTTAGAACCGCGTTATTTTAGAAGAAAATAGCACAAATAAAATCTCATCACGGATTGGGCATTAGAAAAAACAGAATGAGAAACATCGATAAGAAAAAGTAAGACGTTTTATGGGTCACATTATCGTTTCTAGAGAACTTTTTAACTGCCAATAAAGTAAGAAATAAATGATTTTCGGCTCGGCTGCGCTAAAGTAAGGATTGTATCTAAAACGAGCAAAAGATACTTCGACGAACGCTGACCTCTAAATAAAAAGAACTTTAAAGTCATTAAAATGAGCGAAAATATTGATTGGAGAGACACAGTTTATTTAATCATGTCTACATTCAGTATGTCAGTAAGATCAAACTTTTCTAAATCGACAACCTTACACATGAAGTAACAATTTAGTTGTGCAAGTATTTAGCCTGATTATCATTCTCAAAATCATACATGATAGCATGAATTTTCACAGCTTTTATTACCTTACAATCTAGTAACTTTATATTTCGTTTCAAACTACTTATAAGTAGTCCGTATTCTATTATAAATCAGACTTTATATGACTTCCGAGTCATGATATGCATTGCGTTGGTGATAGCAGGCCACTGGGATACTTTTATGATGTTACTGACAGAATAAAAATATGGATGACAGCATGAATTCCCTATCTTCTTAATATTTGCTTGATATAACTTTTGATCAAATGGACAGCAGCTTTTAATCTGTTCGTCACCTGTAATCATGCGAAAAATGAAATGAAAAGGCAAACGACATAACAAATCACTTGAATATCAGCCATTCCAGATAAAAAGAACAAGAGACCGCCTCGTGCAGCAGCGAGATATGTTGCGTCAGTTCATCTTAGTAAACGAATATACGGCGCAGGCTCAATCCTGTCATTTGTGTTGGCTTGGTGTTTGGACAGTGTTAAACTTAACTAGTTAGTATGTAAGGTCTGCTGCCATCCAAGAAATCACCCATAACTTCTACCACTATTATACCTAAATTTCCGACACTTGTTCGCCTACAGTATGAGTGACCGACAAATCTACCAATCTCAAAAGAAAAAAAACTGAAACTCTAAGAATAAAGTGGAAAAAGTTTACTTTATGTTGACAGATACCAAAAATTTGATAGATAAATAATTAAAATTATGAATTACATATAAGCATATACAGATACACCCGGATAAAATAATGCGTAAAATAACATAAATAAACATTCTCACACAAATTCAGAGCGAACCTTTATCTTCTAAACCCTATGCGTCTTATCCACAAATATCACAATCACCACCCGATTCTCCATGTAACAACCCCTCTATCTCTTCGTGCAGTATGCCAACGGTAAGACTAGTCAACATAAAAGGCTCAATGCCCATGTGCATCGAAAAGTCAACACAGTCTAAAAGATAGCATGTTTTACTAAGGCCTAGATTCAAAAACCAAAGAGTCTAATAGTTTATCGCACGCATACAAAAGTGCTGATCGATATATTACTGATATCCGTCAGTCAAAAAACTGTTCAGTCGAAGTTAACCGTGGACCTAACCAATTAGCACTGCTCACAGATATGTGGCCTTAATACTAGTGAAAACCCCGGGCAACTCACTAAATCTGAGTGTATTTATAGTTTATGGAGGAAGAAGTGACGAAAAGAGTGATGTCATCCTACAATGCTGTTGCATATAATCGCCTTGACAACAAACACTCAAATAAGTTAAGGGATATTTGCCTTAGAGCATGACTTATGCTGAACGTCAACTGCAAAGTCGTTTGCTCTAGAAACAAGTCGGAGAGATCGACATGCCCTAATCCGATACATTAACAGGCAAGCCTATTTGTGGTGACTTCAACATGCATGAAATTCCTTGGTTTCCAGTGAAGACGCCTAAACGTTATGAACTATTTATTGAATGTACAGAGCCTGGACAGTGGACTCAGTGTTTCAGTAGCCTTGTAGTGACTCACATTTATCACGAGAACACGACTGGTCTAATAAAAACAATTATTATTATAACCAACTGTACCAGTGTTTGTTTTAATGTGCTTTTGTTTAACTGTGCTAATTATAGCCATTTTGTGCTTCCATTACCTTCCATCATTGTTCCGCGGTATTTGGTACTGTTTGCACGTACTCCTGTCTCCTGTTTCCACTTGTACCATTCCTTGGCACGATCTCGGTATTCGTTCAATACCACGAGATCGCCAAGAAATAAACCTGGTTACGTTCGATCTTCGCCTTCTGATTTATTTGGCACGTGTTCCTCTGTAGCGGTGTTCATAGTTAATCTCAACCTGACACCACGCTACAACCTTAGCAAATATCAGGATACCTTGGACTCAGTCTTTACCAGTGGCCTCATTCCTAACACTGTGTACATTGGAAAAACGTTTCCAGGTAGTGATCATAACATTGTCATATGTAGCCTCAATATGAAAACCACAACCAGTAGACGTAAAACTGTTACACTTTGTAGAAACTATTGCGAGGTCGATTGGAAAAACTTCCAAAATTACCTAGGAAACACTGATTGGGAGAACCTTCTTTGTTGTAAACAATACCGACACACTAACTAACATATCCTATCACAACACCAGAAATATCTTCAACAAAATCGCACCTTTAGAATAGTGGAAACCTAGTTTTTCCAAAGTTCCGTATATATCAGTCTGTGCACGAAGACGTCTTCAAAGACATTGTACTTGATTCCACAACATTCATGACTTATCTTTAGATACGATGACAGAAATATTTGTCCAGGCAAGGACAATACGTACACACAAAACAGTCGCCCAGGAAAAACTTGCTATCGAACTTAATAATGACACCTCCGCACTTATCAAACTCCTCCGAAATAAACCTAAACGTCCCAAACTGAAAGGTGGAAACACAAGACTTCTTGTCAAACTCAAGTCCTCTGGAATCAACAACCCGTTATATTCATGGCTTGCTTCCTTCCTAGCAGAATGTAAACAAATTTTAAAGTACAATGAACCTCTCACCTAGACCAATAACTAGTGGTGTCATCCGGGGAATGTATTAAGTCCACTTTTGTTTCTAATGTATATAAACGATATATACAACACCATAACATTTGAGATTCAGATTTGTGTAGTAAGGACAGAACGCCTGCGGCCTATGTTATTCCTTTTCGAGTATGCTTCTGTGAGTATCCAGTCTTCTCTTGAAAGCGTCAATTGAAGGTGCGGACACCACTGCTTCAGGCAGCAGGTTCCAAGTATTGATGACTCGGTGTGAAAACCTGTATGCCACGGGTATTTTGTTCGTTCTTGGCTTTTCTACTCGCCTGCTATGTCCTCTGAGGTGTCCCGATCTAGTGGAAAGAAAGAGAGAGAATAAGTTAGGTCCGAAATCATTTCTCAGTATTCTGTACATCAATATTAGATCTCCCCTTAGTCTGCGATAGGACAGAGTAAAGAGGTTCAGTTTTTCAAGCCGCTCTTTGTATGATAAATCCCGGAGTTCCGGAATTGCACGCGTAGCTGCCCTCTGTACCTTTTCTATTATGTCTGAGTCACCTTTTAAACAGGGGCTTGCAGCCTGAACACAGTTCTCTAACTTAGTTCTCACTAAGGATGTGTATAATGTGGTGAACATGGTAGTATCAAGCTTAGTGAATGTCCTTTTTAAAGCCCAGAGGGTTCGAAACCCCTTAACTGCGACCTCCCGGCAATGGGCCGTCGTCTTAAGATCATTGCTCACTGTCACCCCTAGGTCCTTATGAGACCGGACTACGGGTAATGACACATCCCCTATGTTGTACGTATTAACCTTTGAATCCCCCAAGTGCATGTAGACACACTTTTCCGAGTTGATAGGCATTAGCCACTCTTTAGACCAGTTTATCATATTATTTAAGTCCGCCTGAAGAGTAAATGCGTCTTTGTCTCCAGTTATTACTCGCCAAATTTTTACATCGTCAGCGTATAATAACATTGGAGACTGTACTATACTTGTAAGATCATTAACGTACATTATAAAAAGTAAAGGACCTAAGACGGAACCTTGGGGTACTCCACTAAGTACTGGTCTCCAGATGGAGCACTTGGAATTTATTCTTACTTTTTGCCTACGACCTACTAGGAAATCCTTAATCCATTTTAAAAGAGGTCCGGCAATACCAAGGTTTTCCAACTTCAATAGCAGTCTATTAGTTGGCACCTTGTCAAAAGCCTTACTGAAGTCTATGTAGACAACATCCACTGAGTTTCCGTTGTCTAGCGCATTAATCCAGAGCTCCCTAGCTATAAGGAGGTTCGTTGTACAGGATAGACCCTTTCTAAAACCATGTTGTGCCATGTTCAGCAAGTTATTGGTTTCCATAAATGCTGTTATGGTCCGTTTGATTATTCTTTCCAGTATTTTAATTACAACACTGGTGAGGCTTACGGGTCTGTAATTTGATGGAACTTGTCGTGGACCTGTTTTATGTATGGGAGTGACGATTGCGTCCTTCCAGTCCATAGGTAACACACCTTGGTCAAGTGACATTTTGAATATCACAGTCAGTGGGGCTGCGATATATTGGGCAATATGTCTCAAGATTTTAGGGTGTAGTTCATCTGGTCCTGTTGACTTCTCCATGTTTAGGGTGCTAAGAGCCTTAAGCACATCGTTTTGGTCGAAGTCCACGGTGAGCAGCTGGTTTGTTGACTCTGTAATTGGGTCTGGTTCTTTCTCTAGAGGAGGTTCCTGAGTGAAAACTGCCCCAAAGTAGTCAGTCACAGCCACTGCTTTTTCCTGATCTTCCTCTATCATTTCAGATTCACTTCCTACTTTAATTAGGTTGGGAATCCAATGATGAATCCTTGTTCTGTAGTTTATGTACGAGAATATCCTCTTGGGCTGCTTGAGTGCAGATTCTGCCAGCTGCATTTCATATTTTCTTTGCGCTTCCCGAATTTTAGTTATACACTCGTTTCTTATCGATCTGTAGCGTTCCATCGTACCCGCTGTGCC